GGGGTTAGAGGAAATACGGTAGCCCAAAGTAATTTTCAGTTTTTAGAGCCAACAAAATATGAAGGAAATAGCGCATCCATTAATTATAATAAATATTTACTGCTCAAGACTTTCTTGTACAGCTGGTACGTTTTCCACTTCTTTGTCTTCAGAATATGGATCAAGTGAAATTTTATCAGAATCATCTGCAAAAAATACGATGTAGCTCATTTTGTATACCATATACATAATTCACCTTACATAAAACTTACATATATATACTTACATGCATATACGGTACGCAATTGAAATTGAGTTGACTGCATGCAAAATAGTTATTTTAATTCCATGAACTTTTCATACATATATGGGAAATACATCAACATATACCGTGCATGGAAATTAATTGGTAAGAACAATTCAGTACAGTTTCACGAACTATAGCATAAAACACACTCTTAATTGCCTTGAGCGGTAAAACAAGGTTTAACAATGACTTTGAACTAGAGTCGACTGAATATTACCTTGAAACAGTTCAAATCTTAAGTTTACAAGATGTTATTATTCGGAGTGTGTTTTTGCGCCGAAACTGCATGAAATGAAACCGAAATGGTCAAATCTGCTTAAGATTCAGTCGACCAAATGAGGAAAGAGCGGTGCATATTAAAGGAAAATTCTGAAGTGGCTTCCCCTGACGAACAGGAGCCAGAACGCCATAAGTTATTGTACTTATAGTAAGCAGGCCTTAAAATGTCGGTCGGTCACGGACATTGTCCGACCCATTTGTGAAATTGTCCGACCCATTTGCGAAATTGTCCGACCCATTTGTGAAATTGTCCGACCCATTTGTTAAATTTTCCGACGCAGAGAGGAAACCACTGGACATTCTGTCTGACTTAAGTGAAACTGGGGTTTATTGTTTGTCCTACCTAACTGTAACTTCGTCCAACGTATATCAAAATGTACCCCAGTCCAGGACTAGAGAGGCCCGTATGTTAAAAGGAGAATCAGAGTAATGTATAAAAAGTGAACTGGAAATGTGTATAATCAAGTGCATGTGGGGTTTTCACCGTGGGGTTCGGAAATTCATTGCCAAGATTCAAATGACTTTTCCAAATTGTGTTGATATTAATTTGTGTCTGCATTCATACTTAGTTTCAAGCCAAACTGAACTCAAAGTCATCGGACATCCATCGGACATCACAATACATATGTTCGACCCCAACTCAAAATCATGCATCGAACATGTTGTTAGACGGTTCTCTGACCGATATTTTAAGGCCTGACTTATGAACGCAAGTTACCGAAAACCAGAAAGCGATTTTGAATTTCACTAGTACACTCTATAGCAGGCCCAGAAAATATATTTATCTTCCTGGCAAATTAAAATTTCCTGCGTATTATTATTATTATTATTAGTGGAATATTTATAGTAAAATGTAAATTTCAGAGAACGTGTGGACTATGATGCTGCCGCACATATCTCGACTTGCAGAATGTTTGATTTTGAATTTTCAAACAATAAGTAAATTATATGGCATTCCTGCATATAAGATGACAAACATTTCCCACAAAGTGCAAGAAAATCTCCTGCGAAGATATTTTGTTAACATTTCCTGGCAGCGGTGCTGCTGGCGCTGCCGAACATTTTCCAGCACTGCTCTATATAGCATTACTATATGGCCATGTTACACGATCGCAAGGTGATTTTCAAATTCACAAGCCTCGGGTATGACACCCTTAATTAGATTGCAATTGCAGGGAAAGTTAAACCTACTACAATTCGCAATGATACACGACAAGTTGCAGCGTCTAAAGGCCGATTTCCATTCAGTGCAAAATGTCGCGAGATCAACTTTTTGCGATCACTTTCTTTTGAAATGTGTTCAGTCAACCTCATCCGTTGCGTTTGATTGCTTGTATTTCGAAAGAACGTGATCGCAAAATGTCAATCGTTCGACATTTTGCACTAAATGGAAATCCGCCTTATCACTCCCAAATGCAACCGGCCTCGCAATATTTGGGAAATTCAACCAATCACAAAACAGACTATAGCCAGTAAAATAAATCGGTAATTCAAAACGAAAACTATATATAGATTAGCATTACAGATCGCAAAACAGATTGCGCTGGTTCAACATCTCACTGCAACCTGCAACGTCATTAGTTTTCAATTGCTTTGTAAGATTCACGAAAGATTGCCCCGAGTACCATGGCCTTTACAGGAAATTGGTTTGAGACCGTAAACATGCATTGCAGCTGGTGTGTATATCTCATAGTGTATTTGTTATCATGTCAAAAGATTTTATAAATACGGTGCTTAATTGCTCATTTTTCATCTCTATACCTCTGTAATCGGGACCTTACATATGTACAAGTATTATATTAGGGAGTTTTCGATCTGCGATGCGGCAGGCTCAACGACGCGATCTAAATTTTAGCTCAAGGATGAGCGCTAAGCAATTTGACTACTGTAATAAATATTTGACTCTTTCAAATAACCTTACAAACTGCTATGTTGCAATGTTTGCTGTAATTTCGACTTTTAGTAACACCTCTTGTGTCGCATTAAGCTTTCGCGTTGCCTGAAAGACGTAATAATGCTTTTTTAACGTTGTGTTGAGAATGACAACGCGGTTGACAATACTCATGGGACCACAAATTATTGACAGTTTTTGTCTTGCATGACAAATTTCTTTGTAAGTTCTTTGTAGGTTTGCATGGCGATAAAACACATAATACTAGTTAACACATAATAATGAATAGTTTGTGGAAACACCAAATATCTTTGTTTTGAAAGCGCGTCGTCGAGCCGGCCGCGTCGTAGATCGAAACTCCCTATTGTAGGACGACAACGCGAAGAATGACGTAAACAAACTCGTTGAACTAAATGATTGTAAAGAAAATCTGTCTATCGCCTACATTTCAAGCAGCGACAACTGCTACTTCAAATTTTGTCCTATACTCTTCTCAACCATGTACAAACCAATTAACCTCGATCCTTAACTGGTATTAATTTCAGTACGATAGATAATAATAATCTTGACCACTAGGGTTAAAAACCCGGTGAAACAAGGATGAACGTTGATGAGAGTGCAAGCAACTCTCGCTCGCGTTTGACCTATACAACTCCCATCTCGACTCTCATCATCCTCACTGTAACGATATTTATAACTGTTACCCAAAAGTCTTTATTACTTCGATTAGTATAACATGTCTGAATCTCAGCTTGTCAGTCTCGAGCCTAAAACATATCGCCTAAAAACTCGACAACAACAATGACTCACGTGACATCAACGATGATGTCATCGCCACATCTCCCTCTCAATATGAAATTGTTTAACGGCATCATAGTGTTTATGCCTAACATATACCTAACATTTTTGTGTCCCAACGAAATTGCTTAACGGCATCATAGTGTTTATGCCTAACATATAACTATAAATAATGCGTGATAATTCTTAGTGTCTCTCGTAATCTTTATGCCAATCTGGCGAACGTCGCACTCGCGTAGTTCGACGAGGGATTGTCTCTTCTTGTCCTGCGTCACTTTCACTCGGCGTTCGACCTCCATTACTGCCAGAACTGCCTACCTGATTTTCATTTTCTGTTTCATGAGTTAAAGGGTTAGTTGGGGTGCTATGTTCCACGACTGGTAAACTTGGGGTGAGGTCCTTTTCGATCGGCTCGCTCGGTTCGATTTGGGAATCTTTCGCGTTGGGAGGTGGTGCCATCTCTTTGGTCGCACGTAGATGACGGCGATATCGCCTTCCACAAACCTCGACTTCGAAAGATCGGTTTTCGAGTGCACGTACGCAGGTACCAAGCGACCAACGGTTATCGCTTGGAAGTTTCATTCTAATGGCGCATCCACTTTGTAGGGGCTCAAGCGGTTTACATTTCTTGTTATACAACCTTGCTTGTTTTACTTTGCGGTTCTCTAATTCCTTCTTTGTTCCGTTTTGTTCCGGTGTTTTAAGAAGACTCTGATGTGTGGGAAGCAATGTACGAGTACGTCGACCCATTAATCTTTGCGCTGGTGAGGTTCCAATATTTTCAGTCGGGGTGTTCCTCCAATCTAGTAATGCTAATAGAGGATCTTCACCGCTGGCTTTTGCTTTCTTTAATAGGGATTTACAAGTTTTCACTGCATTTTC